CAGGGATGTGTAATGTCACCATGGTTGTTTAATATATTTATAGATGGGGTTGTAAAAGAAGTAAATGCTAGAGTGTTCGGGAGAGGGGTGGGATTAAATTATGGGGAATCAAATACAAAATGGGAAGTGACAGTTACTTTTTGCTGATGATACTGTGCTTATGGGTGATTCTAAAGAAAAATTGCAGAGGTTAGTGGACGAATTTGGGAGTGTGTGTAAAGGTAGAAAGTTGAAAGTGAACATAGAGAAGAGTAAGGTGATGACAGTATCAAATGATTTAGATAAAGAAAAATTGGATATCAAATTGGGGAGGAGTATGGAAGAAGTGAATGTTTTCAGATATTTAGGAGTTGACGTATCAGCGGATGGATTTATGAAGGATGAGGTTAATCATAGAATTGATGAGGGAAAAAAGGTGAGTGGTACATTGAGGTATATGTGGAGACAAAGAACGTTATCTATGGAGGCAAAGAAGGGAATGTATGAGAGTATAGTGGTACCAACACTCTTATATGGGTGTGAAGCTTGGGTTGTAAATGCTGCAGCGAGGAGGCGCTTGGAGGCAGTGGAGATGTCCTAAGGGCAATGTGTGGTGTAAATATTATGCAGAAAATTCGGAGTGTGGAAATTAGGAGAAGGTGTGGAGTTAATAAAAGTATTAGTCAGAGGGCTGAAGAGGGGTTGTTGAGGTGGTTTGGTCATTTAGAGAGAATGGATCAAAGTAGAATGACATGAAGAGCGTATAAATCTGTAGGGGAAGGAAGGCGGGGTAGCGGTCGTCCTCAAAAGGGTTGGAGGGAGGGGGTAAAGGTTTGATGGGCGAGGGGCTTGGACTTCCAGCAAGCATGTGTGAACGTGTTAGATAGGAGTGAATGGAGACGAATGGTATTTGGGACCTGACGAGCTGTTGGAGTGTGAGCAGGGTAATATTTAGTGAAGGGATTCAGGGAAACCAGTTATTTTATATAGCCGGACTTGAGTTCTGGAAATGGGAAGTGCAATGCCTGCACTTTAAAGGAGGGGTTTGGGATATTGGCAGTTTGGAGGGATATGTTGTGTATCTTTACACGTATCTACTTTCGAACTGTTGTATTCTGGGCACCTCTGCAAAAACAGTGATTATGTGTGAGTGAGGTGAAAGTGTTGAATGATGATGAAAGTATTTTCTTTGTGGGGATTTTCGTTCTTTTTGGGTCACCCTGCCTCGGTGGGAGATGGCCGACTTGTTAAAAAAAAAGGAAAAAACAAAAAAAAAAAAAAAACAGTAATAATGATAATAATAATACAGTGAACCCCCAACCAATGAAGGCATCGTCTAATGATAAATTCGACCAATGAAGCATTTGAGCATAAAAATTTTGGCCCGGCCAGCAATGAAAAACTCGATGAACATGATTCATCCGGAATGCGTCCACGTGTCTGAGTGCGCCTTAGCTGCCCTGCCTTCAGTTAGTGTGCCAGTGTTTACAAGCCAATGCGGTCGCATCCACGCATACATTCGGTACATTTTGCATTATTCCAGTGTTTTTAGTGCTTGTAATTGCTAAATAAGCCACCATGGGCCCCAAGAAAGCTTCTAGTGCCAACCCTGTGGTATAAAGGGTGAGAATTACAATTGAAATGAAGGAGGAGATCATCACAAAGTATGAAACTGGAGTGCGTGTCTCCGACCTTGCCATGTTGTATAACAAACCCCAATCAAACATCGCTACTATCTTGGCCAACAGAAAGGCAATCAAGGAAGCTGTTGTTGCGAAAGGTGCAAGTATGTTTTTGAAACACAGATCGGAAGTACTCGAAGATGTTGAGAGACTGTTACTGGTGTAGATAAACGAAAAGCAGATATCAGGAGATAGCATCTCTCGAGCGATCATATGTGAAAAGGCAAGGCAGTTGCATGACGATTTAATTATAAAAATGCCTGCAACTAGTGGTGATGTGAGTGAATTTAAGGCCAGCAAAGGTTGGTGTGAGAGATTTAAGAATCATAGTGGCATACACAGTGTGATAAGGCTTGGTGAGGCTGTCAGTTCGGACAAAAAAGCAGCTGAAAAATATGTGCAGAAATTCCAGGGGTACATAGAGGCTGAAGGATTGCAACCCCAACAAGTGTTTAAATGTGACAAAACAGGCCTGTTTTGGAAGAAAATGCCAAACAGGACCTACATTACACAGGAGGAAAAAGCACTCCCAGGACACAAGCCTATGAAGGACAGGGTTACTTTAATGTTGTGTAGTAATGCTAGTGGGGATTGCAGAGTGAAGCCTCTACTTGTGTATCACTCTGAAACTCCCAGAGTGTTCAGTAAAAACAATGTCATCAAGGCTAATTTGTGTGTGATGTGGAGGGCAAACAGTAAGGCATGGGTCACTTGGGACATTTTCTATGACTGGTTTTTACCATGTGTTTGGCCCCACTGTGAAAAATTACCCCCTGGAAAATAAATTGGACCTTAAGTGCCTCCTGGTATTAGGCAATGCTCCTGCTCATCCTTCAGATTTGCCAGAGCATATTTCAGGGGAGTTGAGTTTCATAAAAGTGAAGTTTTTGCCTCCTAATGCCACCCCTCTCCACCAACCCACGGACCAGAGGTCATTTCAAATTTCAAAAAACTGTACACCAAAGCAATGTTTCAAAAGTGCTTTGAAGTGACCTCAGATACTCGATTGACCCTAAGAGAGTTTTGGAAAGATCACTTTAGTATCCTCAATTGCATAAACCTTATAGGTAAGGTTTGGGAGGGAGTGACTAAGAGGACCTTGAACTCTGATTGGAGGAAACTGTGGCCAGAATGTGTACAAGAGAGGGATTTTGAAGGGTTTGGGGCTAACCCTGAGGAGCCTATGCCAGTTGTGGAATCTATTGTGGCATTGGGGAAGTCCTTGGTGTTGGAGGTTAATGGGGAGGATGTGGAAGAGTTGGTGGAGGATGACGATGAAGAACTAACCACTGATGAGCTGCAAGAGCATCTGCAACAGCAAGAGGCCACAACTGAGGAAACTGCTTCAGAGGAGGGGAGAGAGAAATTTAGGAAGTTGCCTTCTTCAACGATAAAAGAAATGTGTACAATGTGGACAAAGGTGCAAACCTTTATGGAGAAAAATCACCCTGACACAGCTATTGCAAGCCGTGTTGGTGACTTTTACAATGACAATGTTGTGAACCACTTTAGGAAAATCTTAAAGGAACGTGAGGTACAGAGCTCTATGGACAGATTTTTGGTGCGACAGAGGTCCATTGACTCTCAAGTTATTCCCAGTGGCATTAAAAAACAAAGAAGATAAGTAACCCCAGAAAAGGACTTGCTACCTGAAGTTCTTATGGAAGGGGATTCCCCTTCCAAACAATTGTAAACTCCTCCATCATATCCCCTCCTCCCATCTCATCACCCATCACCACATCTTCAATAACGGTAAGTGTCATTTATTCTTCACTTAGTACAGTACACTGTGCATGCATCCTTCTTTTTCTGTGAAGGAAAAATGTACATTTCATGTGAATTTTTTTTTTTTTCCATACTTTTGGGTGTCTGAAACGGATTAATTGGATTTCCATTATTTCTTATGGGGAAAATTAATTCAACTAACAATAAATTCAACTAACGATGAGCTCTCTGGAACAGGTTAATATCGTTGGTCGAGGGTCCACTGAATGTCATTTTTAGACATTTTTCATAATTTTTTTTCATATTTTTGTGCCAGATGCTTCAAAATACAAATTGGTAACTCTTGGAGTGGCTGTAAGTACATGGCTATCTCAGTGCTGGCCAAGGGTCAAAAGGAAGAGGAGGTGTGCCGCTATGAGTGACCGCAGCAGACCCTTGGGACGCGTAATTTTGTCATATATTGTACAAATTTCTGACACAATGTCTTGCCCAAAGAGGCAGTATTCGCGTACGATTAGCAAGAAGCGATTAGAAACTATGAAAAAAGCTAGAGAAATGAAGAAGGCAACAACAGAGAGTGAGGCAGCTCGCCACCACCACCACTGTGATCATGTCTTCACCTATATATACATCTGTCTTGACCACAGCTGTGGTTACATGTGACAACCTTACCACTAATCATTGATAAACACAAGGTAGGTGTGGGGTTATGGACTGGGAAGATACTGGAGTGGGAGAGTAAGTGGCAGATGCGGCCAGCATCGCCATCACTCACCATATTATGACTTATTTTATTCATTCTAGAGTATATATCATGTTTCCATTTTATTAATATTGTTTATTATGTCATATTAGATGAACTGTGATAGATAAATAAGCTGTAGAGTTGATATTAGTGTTATTTTGTCATGCCTCCTGAGAGGCTGGAATGGATTAACTGCATTTCAATTAATTTAAATGAGGAAAATTGACTCAGCATATGAACTAATTAGGATATGAACAAGGTCACGGAACAGATTAAGTTCGTAAGTCGAGGCTCCACTGTATACAGAATGCAAAATTTTGCTAAAGCCTTATTGAAAGGTAAAGGTAGTTTTATTAATGTCTCGCAAACTCATAATGGCACAATTGCAAGCAACTCGCCAAAAGGAGGGTTCAAACACATGGCAAGTCTTAAAACTAGAAGGCCAGGGCATTATCCACTGCACCATGCTGGCCTAAAACTGTAATATTTATCCAGTTAAGAGTAATGCTATAACACTAAGGTTAGCATGGGTGCCCGAATGACCACAAATACAGGTTTTACAGATGAATCTCATACCAGCATGGCTGTTACAAGCTTTAGCTCAACTTCCTTCAAAGCATTCATTCACAATGGCTTTGAAGAGACTTGAGCTAGAGCTCGTCATGGCTATACTGCTGCAAGATCTGTCTGTAAAACATGCAAATGTGTTCATGATGGGGCCCATTCTAACCTTAGTATGTATAAAAATACAGAGATGGATGAATCTTATTAGGCTGGCATGGTACAGTGAATAATGCACTGGCCTTCTAGTTTTATGGCTGGCTTGCCATAGGTTTGAACCCTCCATTCAGTGAGTTCTATTAACTTACTGTCCTTTACTTGTTGAGAAAATCGAGCCAAAAAGCTGAATCCTGAAGAATTCTGCTTGAAGTTGAGAACTTTAGACACTTTTACATACTTATTTCCTGTTTGTGCTTCAGAGGGTGCAGTTTGTTTTATCTGAAAATTATAGAAGGTAAACTAAATGTTTGTTAAATAAGAGGCAACAGCTTGACCTACATAACAAAATACGTACAGTGGTACCCCGAGTTTCAAACAGCTCCCAACTCGACTAATTATGTAAGTGCTTCTGTAAGTGTATTTTTGGGGGTCTGAAATGAACTAATCTAATTTACATTATTCCTTATGGGAATAAATTCGTCGGTAACGGCACTCGAACAGCCTTCTGGAACGAAGAAAGTTCGAAATTCTGGGTTCCACTATATAATCAAATAGAAATCATTGAGTTTTAGGGAGAGATTGGCAAATTAAATACATAATACATAAAACTACAATAATTATTTCTTAGAATACAATGTGATAATCATATATAACAATTATATAAGAAATACTTTTACCTCTTCATTCTGTGTTGATGACTGGTTGGCCAAAGTTGGGTCATATCTAGGCATGCCCTCATTACTTGATGCTATGTCCTCAGCAGTTTTGAGTCTATAATTAGTGAAACAAATGTGATATAAAAAGGAGTTGAAGAGGAAGGATGGAGGAAGGAAAAAGATAAGAGCTGGAATATTTGAGTAACAGCAGGTGTAAATTACCCCCTGAATACCAGCTTTGTGCCTTAATAACCCCATAAGTTTTCCATCAAATTTCATATTTTTGGTATCATTACCCTCAGAAAAAATTCCCTACAATTTCAGATTTTTTTTTTTAATAATGATACTGTCCGAACTTTTAATTTCAGGGGTTGTAACAGTGAAAGGGTTAAAGTGTGTATGATCTTCATTCTGCCCAAAATGCAATGCATAAATATGATAATGTGAAGAAGTGCATGTATGACATGGCCTACAGTATGTTAATCATTCTCTATTCTACAAATATCATCCTGGAAGGTAAACTTATATTCTGCTGTTTAAATAACAACATCTGTGCCATTCTAGGAAAGTAGCTAGTGTGTGATGGTGAATGGTTTTATCTTTTGGTCACAATGAATGAAAAAATACCCATCAAGTTAAAAAATATTATAGCCATTTAACCCTTTCAGGGTCCGTCCCGTAGATCTACGGCTTTACGTTCAGGGTCCAAACCGTAGATCTACGCCATGAGCTCAGCTCACTCTGATAAACTGTGAGTGGTACATTTGGGCCTAGATATGAGAGAATACATCTATGTGGTATGTGTGCACCCCATAAAACAGATCCTGCAGCACACTGTGTATAATGAGAGAAAAAAAAATGAAATCATGATTTTTCGATTAAAACAGCAACTTTGCAGTGTTTTTTTCGTATGTTTTTTATAGTTGTATTTGCGATTTCTTGGTCTCATTTGATTAGAATGGAAAACATATTACAGAAATAGAGATGATTTTAAATTGGTTTTAGCACTGGAAATGGCTTGAAACTGAGCTCAAAGTAGCAGAAATGTTAAATTTTTGCCGATATTCAAGAGTAAACAAACGACCTCACACGTCTAATACACGCCAGCTGGGGGGTCTAATATACATTCACAAATATGGTGATGATATTTATACAATTATTACAGTATTGCATAACAGTAAATCTTCTATTTTTTGGTTGTGAATAAAAATTCATTATGTGAATAAAAAATAAAAATGGAATTTATTTGTAAAGCCTCAAAACATAACTAATGAACAGAGGAAATGTTAGTTTAGTGCCAGGAATGCCTACATTGTTCATTCTGGACCCTATTTTGAAATTGGAATATTTTGAACTTTGTGTTAAATTGGCCAAATTAACAATTTCCGATCACTTTATTTATAGTTGAAACAGTTGACTTGGCGATTTCTTGTGCTCAATCGATAGAATAGAAGTAATACTAGTGAAATAGCTAAGGAATTTGGTTGATTGGAATAATGTAATTGGCCTAAAATGGGAGTCAAAGTCGGCAAAATCGCCGATTCGTAAATATCGCTGACACATCAAAATTCGCGAGAGCATAATTTCGTCAATTTTCCACCAAATTTCGTACTTTTTGTTTTATTACCTTCACAAAAAGATTCTCTACGATTTCATAAGAAAAAATAACAAATTTTTTTTTTGAAAATTCTTGGACACTGGTGCGTGACTCCAGATTTGGGCCTTGGACCCTGAAAGGGTTAAAAACAAAATCTTAAATTTGTAATCTGACAGGTCTAGATCATCTACTGTGATTGAAGTTTTACTATACTTATATATTTATTTTAGTTACTAGAAAATACTCACTTGAGTGTAGTGGAGCACCCATCCGAGACTTCCAGATTAGCCAAAATCTCCTCCTGAGGCTGGTGTTCTTTTCTGATATCCCCAAAATCATGACTGTCACTTGTATCATTATCAACTGTAGCCTCACTATTATCTTTGCTATTCCGAAGGCTTCGAAGATTCTCAATCTAGGGAAAATTGTGAATATCTGTACTGAAGATTCAATGACCAGTTAAAAAAGATCCATACTGCTGTACTACAGTATTTATCTGCCTATGAATGTTTTGCCTATATTTCTACCATAATTTTGTTATTTAAATATGATTATAGCTATCATGCTTGCTGACTTGAAGAAAAATACACAGGGTAAATTTTTGTTTAACCCTTTGAGGGTCGACAGGCCCTCTCCGAGACTCGTTCTCAGGGTCGGCCAAATTTAAAAAAAAAAAATAATTTTTTCTTATGAAAAGATAGAGAATCTTTTCCCGATCATAATGACACCAAAAATATGAAATTTAATGGAAAACTTACGGAATTATGCTCTCACGAAGTTAGCAGTCTCGGCGATGTTTACGGATCGGCGATTTTGCCCACTTTGAGCCCCATTTTCGGCCAGTTCCACTGTACTAGTCCACAAAAAACATGAATATTTCACTAGAACTCCATTTTTTCTATTGAATGAGTGCAAGAAACCACCCATTTACCAATTTTAACTATCCAGTACAGTGGTCAGAATTTAGCAATTTTGCCAATTTCACACAAATTTCAAAAGATGCCAATTTCCGAATAGGGTCCAGAACAAACAAGAAATACATTCCTGGCACTAAAATGACATTTCCTCTGTTCATCAGTCACGTCTCAAGGCCCCTCTTACATTCTTTTGCTTTCCACTTTGAATTTTTATTCTCACAAAAAATAGAAGATTTACTGTTATGCAGACTACTGCATTAGTGTAAAAAAAGGTATGAATCATATTGGCGCACTTGCGAAAGAATATTAGACTCACCAGTTGATGTGTATTGGACGCTTGGCATGATTTGTTTACTTTTGAACTTTGGTAAAAATCGAACATTTCTGCTACTTTGAGCTCAATTTCAAGGTACTTTTCATTGTAAAACCAGTCAAAATCATCTCAATTTCTATGATATGCCTTCCATTCTATAAAATGAGACCAAGAAAACTAGAATACAACAATAAAAACCATACGAAAATACAGTGCAAAGTCGCTGTTTTATTCCAAAAAAAATGGTCAAAGTTTTTTTTTTCTCATTATGCACTGTGTGCTGCAGGATTTCTTTTATACCATGCACACTGACCACACAGACCCATTCTTTCATATGGAGGCCTACCAGCTTTCTCCCACTAGATTTGAGGGCGCTAGAATTTAGGCATACTAGTACGTCAAAAACCCTGGGTCGTAAGCTGTACTAATACGTCCGAAACCCTCAAAGGGTTAAGCATCGATAATCCTACTGAATTTTGGAAAATTTATATTTTTCAATTTTACATAATTTTTTTTTTTTAAATGCTGTGTTCATAACCCTTGCACATTTTGGCATTAAGCGCATATAATTCAGAGCATAAACCCAAATGTACATCCCATATCTATAAAGATATACACCATATATATAAGTATACATACAGTAGGTTATAGGTAGTAGGTTGGTACACAACAATCACCCAGGGAGGTACTACCGTCCTGCCAAGTGAGTGTAAAACAAAAGCCTGTAATTGTTTTACATGATGGTAAGATTGCTGGTGTCTTTTTTTCTGTCTCATGAACATGCAAGATTTCAGGTACCTCTTGCTACTTCTACTTACATTTAGGTCACACTACACATACATGTACAAGCATATATATACACACACCCCTCTGGGTTTTCTGCTATTTTCTTTCTAGTTCTAGTTCTTGTTTATTTCCTCTTATCTCCATGGGGAAGTGGAACAGAATTCTTCCTCCGTAAGCCATGCGTGTTGTAAGAGGTGACTAAAATGCCAGGAGCAAGGGGCTAGTAACCCCTTCTGTATAAATTACTAAATTTGAAAAGAGAAACTTTTGTTTTTTTTTTTTTGGGCCACCCTGCCTCGGTGGGATATGGCCGGTTTGTTGAAAGAAAGAAAGAAGACTGCTGGTGTCTTTTATCTGTTTCATAAATATGCAAGATTACAGGTACGTCTTGCTACTTCTAATTACCCTTAGGTCATACTACACATATATGTACCAGCATATATATGGTTTGTAGATGAATGGTTCAGAGAACCGACATGTTGATAAATTAGACACATGTGCAACTCTTGGGCATCTTTATTGAGGAAACGTTTCGCCACACAGTGGCTTCATCAGTCCATACGTAGGAGAAACTTGAAGAACAGGAGGAGAATGAGGTAATCAGTCCCTGAACCTTGAGTCGATGTGTTCAATCCATCAATCTTGAATAGAATACGGCATATGAGCGGAGAAGCAGCTTATAAACCGTATGGCAGGAGAGGTGCAGCAGTCATAGGTGGTGTTACATTTGTTCAATGTGGAAGTAGGTCGTGCCCAAGAATTAGGCAAGCGAAGAATTCCAAAGTATTAAGAACCCAAGAAGTTGCAGTGTCTGACAGGTTTGTAGATGAATGGTTCAGAGAACCGACATGTTGATAAATTAGACACATGTGCAACTCTTGGGCATCTTTATTGAGGAAACGTTTCGCCACACAGTGGCTTCATCAGTCCATATGTAGGAGAAACGTATTCTATTCAAGATTGATGGACTGAACACATCGACTCAAGGTTGAGGGACTGATTACCTCATTCTCCTCCTGTTCTTCAAGTTTCTCCTACGTATGGACTGATGAAGCCACTGTGTGGCGAAACGTTTCCTCAATAAAGATGCCCAAGAGTTGCACATGTGTCTAATTTATCAAGCATATATATACATACCCTTCTGGGTTTTCTTCTATTTTCTTTCTAGTTCTTGTTCTTGTTTATTTCCTCTTATCTCCATGGGCAAGTGGAACAGAATTCTTCCTCCATAAGCCATGCGTGTCATAAGAGGTGACTAAAATGCCAGGAGCAAGGGGCTACTAACCCCTTCTCTTGTATAAATTACTAAATTTAAAAAGAGAAACTTTCGTTTTTCTTTCTTGGCCACCTTGCCTCAGTAGGATACGGCCGGTTTGTTGGAAAAATAAAAAAATACAGTAGGTCCTATTTTCTGTCAGACACTCATGGTGTGTAAAGATAGAAAGTTGAAAGTGAACACAGATAAGAGTAAGGTGATGAGGGTATCAAACGAGTTAGGTAAAGAAAAACTGGATATCATGTTGGAGGGAAGGAGTGAATGTGTTCAGATATTTGGAGTAGATTTGTCAGCAGATGGGTTCATGAAGTATGAGGTTAAACACAGAACTGATGAAGGAAAAAAGGTAGGTGGTGCATTGAGGTGTAGGTGGAGACAAAAAATGTTATCCATGCAGGCAAAGAAGGGAATGTATGAGAGTACAGTGGTACCAACACTCTTATGTGGGTGTGACCCGTGGGTTGTGAATGCTGCAGTGAGGAGGAGGCTGGAGGCAGCAGAGATGTCTTGTCTAAGGAAAATGTGTGGTGTAAATATTATGCAGAGAATTTGTAGTGTGGAAATTAGGAGAAGGTGTGGAGTTACAAAAGGTATTATTCAGAGGGGTTACTGAGGTGGTTTGGTCATTTAGAGAGGATAGAGCAAAAGAGAATGACTTGGGTATATAAATCCATAGCGGAGGGGAGGAGGGGTAGGGGTCATCCTAGGAAATAAGAATATTTAAATAAGAATATTTACCCAATATTTTATATTTCTTCTCCAATTCACTCCTACCCTATTGCATCATGGCTAACTCATGGCTCTTTACATATGCTCATCACTCTTTCACTATATGGTGAGAGTATCACATGCCTAGGTAGTGTGAGAAAGTTGTGGTGAGGAAAATTGTGTGAGAGTGTGTGGTGAAAGTGAGTGGAGCGCCTGCCGTCCCACACCTCACTCACTGAACATGTCCAATACCCGGGCAAACTAAAACTGCATTATTATTATCATCATTGCTTTTTTACAATTTTGAGACCTATAAAAAATCTGGTTGGACTCGTTGGAGGTGTCTATAAACATAACCCTATTTTTTTCCATATGTGCTAAGCTCAGTTAACACACATTTTTTTTAACCCTTAACCCGTAAACGGCCCAGGCAGATCTATGTTCACATGTGTAGTGCTCCAAAAGTAGATCTACGTTTTTTTTTACATATTTTCAAATATAACAAAAAAAAAAAAGTAGATCAAAGTTTTTTTACACATTTTCAAATGTAAAAAAAAAAAAAAATCTACTTTTTTTACATACTTTCAAATGTTGAAAAAACGTATATATACATTTGGACCGTTTATGGGTTAAACGGTCCAAACGTATATATACGTTCTTACGTGTAGCGCCCCAAACGTATATATACGTTTTATTTTTCCTGCCTTCAAATTTGGCACAATTGGTCTGAGATGCCTTTTCAGTATAGAATGGGTCCTAACACTTAGTGTGCATGGTATTAAAAAAATCTGGGACCACTTAGTACCTTGTGGGAGCGCCAGTTAAATTGAGCGCCAGCTAGAGCAAACAGTGCGGCAAACACCAAGGATTCACTGATGTAATGTCATATTAACACTCCTCTTTTAAGAGGAAAGTGATGTTAACCCCAAGTTTAGGGTCTGTCTATCTGTATCTCTGTCTATCTATCTCTATCTGTCTTTGTCTATCTGTCTCTGTATCTCTTTCAATCTGTCTATCTCTGTCTCACAGGTACACATAAATACAGTGGACCCCCGCATAACGCTATTAATCCGTTCCTGAGAGCTCAATGTTATGCGAAATTATCGTTATGCAAATTAATTTTCCCCATAAGAAATAATGGAAATCAAATTAATCCGTGCAAGACACCCAGACACCTAGCCTTTTCACTTATGATCGCTTGAGAGATGCTATCGCCTGCTATCTGTTTTTCGTTTATCCACACCAATAACAGTCTCTCAACATCTTCTATCACTTGTGATCTCTGTTTCGAAAGCACAGTTAAACCTTTGGCAAGAACAGCTTCCTTGATTGCCGTTTTCTTGGACACAATAGAAGCGATAGTTGATTGGGGTTTACTATACAACCTGGCCAGCTCGGAGACACGCACTCCACTT